CTCGCCAAGTTGCCCAGGGGGTCTCGAACCTGTGGGCTCAGACAATCCACTCACCTCAGCCTCCCAAAGCGCTGGGATTACAGGCTGAGCCACCGAGCCTGGCTCATTTTTTTCTTAATAAGGACAGCCCTGTTAAACAGAGGTAAAGAAAAAGGTGAGAAAGGTGCATGGATGCTTTTGCAAACTATAAAAGTTAACTTATTTCCTTTCCATGCAATGTTTGTCTGTGGTATAGACAAAGCCGAAGTGATATGGATGGCTCCTCTGTGTTCACTTTTCTGTTAGGAGGTGAACACAGGGGAGACAGATGTGCTCATGCCTCCTGCTTCCAATTCAGTTACTTAGTTGCCAGTGGTTTGGGGGTCAGTTGTTTTTTGTTATCCTTTTCTCTTCCTTGCTTTCCTGTGACAGTAGCATACTTTAACTAGAGTTGAGTGTGGCATTTGCCCAGGAGAAATGTATACACACAGGAGATGCTGACAAGTCTATGCTGGCCTTTTCTTGTCACTGTTACCACTTGACTTTGTCTTGTCTAGGTACCTGGATGGAGTGGCGAACAATGGAGCTGCCCCAGTGCTCCTGGAGCTGGCCAATGAGGTAATGTTATTGTTATGATTTTACTTAAACCTGTAAAAAACCTAAAGGGCCTATCTAGAGTAACTTTGCTTAGAACTGTAATTAACCTTAAAAAAAAAGATGTTGAGGTACATTAGACGTTTAAATTGCTCCCTGATCTCTTTGTACTTTAATAATTGGACAAAGAACTTCATGTCTTAATAAATCAATTGACATAATTAGTCTACTTCTTTTAAAGCAAACGTATAAACAGCTTCTTGGTTTATTATTTTGTGGAAATTTTCAACCAAGCAGCTCAGGACATGCTCTTCCTAGAATATGTTGTCTTAATTCAGTGTGAGAAATACCTATGTCAAGTAAAGAGAAGGGTGCCAAAAAAAATATTTGCTAACTATTATAAAAATGAAGACAGAAATTGCATACTTAAAGAAGTACTTGTTTCTTTTTGTTGTCAGCAAACTTTTATAATAAAGGATACATGCCTTAGAGGAAAAAGTCTCTTTCTTTACATGAAGAAGCACAGTGTTCTTATTAACACCATGTATAAAGTGATTTATTGAACTTATTTGTTAACTCTGATCTGTTTCTGCTCAGGGAAAAAAAATAACAGCCTTGCATTTAAAAAAGGAAACCCAACAGATTTTCCGTGAATGAAGAAGCTGTAAAAAGTTCCTAATAGTTGCAGAGAGCACACTGAAAAAATAAAATATTTAATTCCTAAATTTTAAAATATTTATTCACTGTAATAAGAGCAATACAATATTTAGTCTGACTTGGAACTGCTTATGCAAACCTCATAGGGATGGAATGAAATGTACACTGTTTTTGTGTTGCATTATAATGGAAAACATAGAAGCAAGGCAGAAAATGTGTGTTTGCATTAAAGATGACTCGGTACTGTGAGCATTAAGTGTTGCAGTAGCAGCAAGTTCTACATGTTATATTAGCAAGGAGGGATGGCTTCTCTCATAGCTCCTGTCTGCTGTACACCGCTGCAGTCAGCAAATGAGCAATTACCTATCAGTTACTAGATGGTTTTAATAGTCTAGGCAATGTCTACACTATCTGATAGGATAGTTAACATATAGAATGAATTTCTCTTCTCCTCCTAGCAAAACATATACTTTATTCATTTTTTTTTTTTTTTGTCTATTTTTGTAGCCGGGTGGGTTTTAAATGTTTTTGTCCAGACTTGTTTGTTACAAGTTGTTACTATTATTAACTTGAAATATCTGATTTTTATCTGGCAATTTAGTGATTGTACTTTAAGAAAAAAGAGTGAACTAACCGTGTTCTAGACACAGCATCTAGAAAGAATGTGATGCAGATATGTTTCTTATTTTTATAGATGATGATGTTGATGACATAAGTTTCATATAGTAGCAACTTATATTCATTTGAATTTTTAATGGACAGCTCTGTTGAGCTTAGCTTATTTAGCTGACCTCGACTTCTATCTTCTAGTAATATGGAAAAATTTAACCCACCAACACGTTTTCTACTACAGCAATAAACCTGTTATTTGCCACAAATATATAACAATATTTAGCCAAAGAAAAGAAATGGCTATTTAAAGATGTTTCCCTCCCCTTTGACAGCAGATTAATACAGAGAAAATAGCACTCTTCTGTGAGATTACTAATGTATTAGGGAAATCTGGGAATGATTGGAACCAGATCATTGTTTCTAAACAACCAAGCTGCCATTTTTATATGATAGTTAATACTTAAATGACATATGCTTGCATCTGGGGACAATTGATGTGATGGTAATACTTTATGAGTCAATATATATTTAATCAGTAGAAACTGTAAAAATTGATGAGAAATATATAACATTGGTACGTTGCAGTGTGTAGCAACCCTTTAGACAAGAGCACTGTATTTTTGTTGATTTGGGGTGCAGGGGTTATATGTGGCCATCATGAATTTTACAAACATCTTAATACTATTTTTCTAGTTTCAGGGCTAAAAATCAACATTTTAGGAAATCTTACTTTGTTAGTGATAATAAGATCAGTCATTCTGTTCACTCCACACAAATATTTTCAAGTGAGATTTAAACCACTATGAATTTTACTTACATGCTAAATTCTGACATGAAGCATGATGGCCCTATTTCAGAGAAAGATGGACACATGATTAATATGAAAATTAGGGAGATGCAAGTACCTGAACTAATAAGGTAGTCCTTATTCAGGCTGGACTACCTTCAGTAATTTTACCATTTTTCATGTGTCAGCTCTGATGTGGGTTACTAGGAATAAGCAGCTTCGTGGAAAGCATTTTTTTCTACTTGGGGAATTTAAGGGCATCCAAGTACATACATATTTGAAAAAACTGTTCATACAAATGAAGCCAACCTTTTTGTCTAGTTACTAAATCAAGATAAAATTTTGGTATGAATACAGGACTTGAAAACCTGTCAAGAAAAATTTATGGTGATAATATATGAGAAACATTTGCTATCTCCCACCTAATAAAAAGACTTGTTTTAGGAACACATTCTTGCTCTTAAAAAAAATACCTACTTTTGAGTGAAATTAAATTAATGGTTAATGAAAGATCTAAGAACCAAAAAGAAGACACAATTTTACAAAAGAGTAGATACTTTTTTTATTAATTAAAATTGCTGCTGGACTGGGTATTCTCTATTTTCTGATTGATCCCTTATTTTTTTAAAAAAGTTACATTCTTGAGTTCTGTATTAATTAAATTTATGAATAGCATTTTGAATAAGCCTAAGGATGGTGATCTTATATTACAGATTTAGTACTGTTGTATTTTATTATTAATATAGTTTCTATAGTTATTTTCTTTCATCAAATAAAATACTTTTATGTAAAGAACTTATACCAAAATTTTGGTTGTCTTTGAAGATAAAATAAAATTATATCAGTAAAATTCAGATTTTTAATGAGTAATACCTTTTGATTTCATTTCTGAAAACAGTCGCTAAGCAATAAAAGGGCTTTTTATTTGAAATTACATTCAAAACAGTATAAATATAGACAGTTGGATAGAAGGAAGGATGGCTAGAATAAAAAATAATATTGGCCTACCAACAAAAAACTTAATAGAGGAGGGATGAGAAAAACCCATTTCATTGTTTTAGATTAATACTACTTCCAAGTTGTTCCATCCTTTTTACTCTCATGTTATAGTCAATCAATCTGACCTATTTATTCTTTTCAAGAACACAGATCATACTTGTTATAATTTTAGTATAATGGAAGCCACCAAGAGTGGGAAAGATTTTAATGAATGATGCTTGCTGTGGTTGATTAAAATTGACTTAATCTTCAGTGTTGACAAAATATTGGAATATCAACTGCTTGCATAACTTGACAGCTTTAATTTTCTACTTCTGTTTTATGAAGGTGGACTATGCACCCTCGTTAATGGCTCGCCTTATACTGGAGAGGTTTCTACAGGAACACGAAGAAACTCCAC